CAACTTCCAGGCAAAAATCCTATTGTTTGATGGAAATATCCAATTTAACTATATTAAAAAAAAAAAAAAAAAAAAAGAGTTCAAATACCAAATCAATTTCATTTTATCTTCTTATCATGTAACATAAATTCCTTCGAAAGTCAGTCCCATGTCCTTGAGCAGGTGCTGATTTTAAAAAGGAGCTGGGAGTGAAGCACTTGAGTGCCATGGCCCCTGGTGTGTGTGAGGCCATGGAAGGGGTGAAGTGCAAACCAAGGCCTTGCCTTGATCCTTCAGCAGCTCCGTGCCCACACTGACAAAATCACCACACTTAGACTTATCCAAACCATCTCCTGCAGTTCCTGTTAGAAAAGGAACTGTTTGGGGAGTTTTTCACAATGAAAAGCACTGCAGGTTAATGCTGGATTATTCAAACAATTACTCTCATCTCAGTAAAGAAGCATTAACTTTCTTCATGTTTATCTGGTTTTTGCGGACTTAGAATGATTCCACATCCTGCACTAGATTCCCCATTTTTAATGGGATCAACATAAATTTTGCCTGTGGGGTGAAGGCTGTTTGCAGAGTGATAACATCCTGAAAATAATGTTGTACTGTGAATAAAGTACATGAAAAAATTGCTCATCTCTGGCTCAGGTACCTTCTCCCACTTTAAAATGTTTTGTTATCCTATTGATTTAGGAGAAGAAAAAATACCTTTTGGCTGTCCTCACATTTGTATGAAAAGTGTAATACCTGTTCAGAACAGTGTGAAATACACCATCCTGTTTAGTGTTATGTATTCCACTGTCACCAAAAGCTTGAGTGACTTAGTTAATCATTCAAACTGCAATTCTGGTTTGGTTCACAGCTTTCTAAGCAAGTCAAAGAAACAGATTTAATATTTTATATGTTATTCTTAGATGTCCCAAATGCATATCTGGCTGCCTAACTAATTCACTTAAAATAACACCTATGTTCATTTGAGATAATTAGATAATAATGTAGATGCCTTTTAATGACTTTGGTAACAAAACTTTTTCTTTTGTTAAGAGTCATTTCTGCCCATTTTGTAATAAGTTCTTTGGTTTAAAAAGCGTCCAATACTTCAAGTATGAGAAAAGAAATTACATAAATGTTGACAAACACATAATGATATTCAATTTAAACTTTTGAACGGGAAATTCAGGAAAAAGGTCATGATCCTAAAAAAAAGAAAACACCTGGGTTTACAAAGAAATGGAAATAAAATGAAGCAACCTCCTCTACCCGGGCATCTATTGCAGTTTTTATTACCAATGTTACAGACCTGATGCTGATTTTCTTCAACATTGCTCTTTCCCTACCTTTTCTTCCAGATTACTGCTAATGTATTCTCTCACAACCAAGACACTTAATTTGCAGAAGGATGAAAGTGGGGAAAATCCCAAACTATTCACACTTCTTTCTTCCCATGTTTCTTATAAATAACAAGTACACCCTCAGCAAAAAGTCTGATAGCTCTGATTATCAGCACCTTTTGCAGGTCACTGGTACAGGCACATCTGCCCAGGGCTATGGCACTCTCAGGTCATGGACCAGTGCAGTAAGTGAAAAATCCACCTAGCAATGGCCATTAGTGGAACAAATAGGGACAAATAAACTGAAAGCAAAGGCTATTAATGGAACAAATAGGGACAAATAAACTGAAAGCCATAATGGAAATAAATCCTTAGGTTTATGAACTGACTTAAAGACACAATATTCCCAGAGCTAGCCTGGCAGATACTGTCATTTGGAGTTTCCCCACACTGCTTGTGAAAGGCTGTCATGGTGTGGAGAAGCTCCAGATGCACTGCTCAGGTGCAGCTGTGTAAAATGTTCATGGATCCCTTTATCCAGACAAGGACAGAGCCTGCAGCTAAGGTGTATGCCAAACTCACCCAGCACAGAAATGAGATCTAGACAATTAAATTAAACCTAGTCAGTGCCCTGAAAGAATGAGGAGTCTCATGGAGTAGATAGAGCCCAGAGCAGCTGGTATCATAAATTTTACTGTTCTGCAGTGAGAGTGATAAATGATTTCGCCAGTTCAAGCTTCACCCTCTTCCAAGGTCACTGGATATCTCTCAGCAAAAACAATCTCTGGATTGTTGCGTTCATAAAGTGAGCTCAGCAATAAAGTGCTCTGCCACATTTCCCTCTGCTCTGGCTGTGGCTGGGACCAAGCCCTGGAGGGTCTTGCAGGGTAATTTCTGCCCTGTCCTGTCTGCAGAGCCCTGTCCCACAGGGCAGGTGGGGGAACAGGGACAGCAGCTGGGCACAGCTCCATTCCCAGGCTTTTCTTAGCAAAACAACAACAGCAGCAGGGAATCGGAGGGTTTGCCACTGCAGAATGAACTGTTCTGAAGGTGAGATTTCCAGAGGTACGTCAGTGTCAAAAGATGCAAATAATCAAATTAATCCACTCCTGGAAGTCTAGTCCAGCTTCTTTTCATATTGAGTAGGACCCTAGCTTGTTTTATCCTGGGCTTTCCAAGATATACCACTCTGGGTATACAGTTAGAAGAAGGCATCATTTTACTACATTATAGTGACAATTTCTCACGGCCTTGTCTTCAAAACCATGCAAGTTCCTTCCTGGCCCATTATTCACATATGTTTTATTTTCAGTTTCTTTTAATTTACTCTACCATATAGGCCAGATGAAGCATGAAGAAGAGATAAAGCAGCAATTTTTATGAGGTCCCTTCATGACAAAACTTACAACAGTATCACCTTGACAATACAAATCTATCTTCATGGAAGTCTGGGCACACAACCCATAACAAACTTTATTTATACTTTAATCTTACTTTCTTTTTCATCTATAAACAACAGCTGAAAATATACTGTGGAAATCAATTGACAGCAGCTGAATGAAAGGCAATTAATCACGTGACCTAAAAAATACTTTCTGTCTCTAGTTTACATCATGTAGGAGTTTTCAGTAGTAGTTAGGAAAGTTCATGGCCAAGTTACAAGAGTCACACACAAACTTAATTTATTGAGACAACACTGGCTCTCTCTCATTTTAAGGATATAGAAGTTGACTGCACTCAATTTTCAAAATCAAAATACTTCCCAAAACCTTGCATTACCATTATTTAGATGCTTAGTACCAAGTTTAGAAATACAAGTCCATCTTCAGCACTCACAACAGCCTTATCTGAGATGATATCAGTTACTCCTGACTTGCAATCTTCAATATGATTTAATTTCAGTTTATTTTGTGACACTAAGATTTCATATTGAGTACAGCACAAACTGATTCCAGACTGGTTAGTGTGAAATGCAAAGCGAGTGCCATGACCACCACAGGCCTTCTTACCACACTCATCTGATAACCACGATGGAGATCTCATTTTTATATACATTTACAAGGTGAATTAGAAAAGTAAACATTCCTATAGCTACATTTTGCATAGCATACTTTGGACTCAAAGATAAGAAGAAATTTGCTTTGAAAAAATAGTACTTTGCTGAAGTCTGTCTCCTTTCATCCAGATGATGCTTATCCTATCTAAAATGAACAAGTCTATGAAAGGTAACTCTTATCTCTTTAATAATAATTTTCTTGCAATATACGCTTAGTAATAAGACAAAATTACATACAGCACAGCAGATAAAAGAAAAGGTCTGCAGATAGGATTTACAATATAATAGAAGTGCCTTTCTTTGTATCAGCATACTCTTTACCATAAAGGTTTCCATCACTCCCATTGTGCAGATTTTATATATAAATAAAAATAAAGCAGATTTTTAAAAAAATTATAAATGGAAAACATTTGGGGAACTATATGCAATGTCACATCTCTCTCCACTGACAAAGGATATAAAGCTCTATTTACCATTTAAAGTGGCTCAATTAAAATAAACAACAAAAAACTAGTGCATAAAACGACTTGACAAAGTTAATTTAATTGTCTCTTTTTATGTGGATCCTAAATAGAGTTGAAACAGCTGCAAGTTGCAGTGTAATTCCAAGAGATTCCGGACAGACTCCGGACAGACTCTGGACAGCTGCTCTGGGATCTGGGTGGTTCCTTGTGCTGCCGAAAGGGCTGAGGAGGAGGAAGGATCCTTGTTGGGATGGATGAAAGTTTGACAAGAAAGTCTCACAGATATGTGTGCTTAGCAGAAAAATTTTTAAATGTGGAGTCTGATAAAGGAATAGAGATGGAAGCAAGTTTTGATATAGAAGAAAAGAATTGCTGAGCCAGTCTTGCTGGATAACCAAGGAGGCAAAGGGTGTGTCAGTTAGAAGGGGGTTTTATGGCTTAGAGCAAAGGATAAACCCACCTTGAACAAGAAGATGTTTTTACCAAGCAGAAAGCACAGGCAAACAAGCCTGCTGATGTGGCAAGTAGAAAAAAGGTCTCAGAATTTTCCACTGCAAGAAAACTGAAGAACAACTTCTAGCTTAAACTGTAATGTACTAGCTTTGAGTGATTGGACAACAGTAACATGAATATGGTAATTATAGTAGTTATGATAGGCTATAGATAATAGTTAAGGTATAGATTGGTTCTACTGTGTTAAGGTGCTCAGCAAAGAAAAGTATATAATGCATTGTAACCAAAAGAAAAGTATATAATGCATTTGTAACCAAAACCAAAGGGTCTCCAGGCCTGCCTGCAGCTGGAGCTGACAGCTGTGGGCACAGCTCTGTTCACCCACAAACCTGGACTGCTGTAACTCTTAGATACAACAAACTGCATTTTGAGGAGCTGCCGGGAGTCCCACATCTCTCATTTAGGCTCTTACAGCGGCATCCAACATGGGGCACCATCAGTAAGAGCCTGAATGAGGGATGGAGGACTCCAGGCCTGCCTGCAGCTGGAGCTGATAGCTGTAGGCACAGGATCTGTCACCCACGACCCTCAGCTGCTGTAACCTCTTGGATGGAATAAACCACATTTTGAAGAGCTGCCTGGAGTCCTGCATCCCTCACTTTGGCTCTTACAGGTCCTGGATGACCTCGGGAAGCAGGAGGGGGGTACCTGGTCGAGCTTCCAGTGGAACTCGGCGGGGCGGAAGGTGTCGGCCTGGTCGAAGTCCTTGCGCAGCAGGAACACGAGGCGGCAGTTGTGCACGTAGAGCGCGTAGTGGTGCCGGTTCATCTCTGCGGGGACACACAGCCCTTGGTGCCTCACACACCAACAGCACCCAGACACAGCACACAAACCCCAAAGAACTGAGCTTTTTCATGGATTAGTGTGACTCCTCTTGAATTGTGCCGTATCAGCTTTGTTCATGGAATCATCCTGCCCTAGCTAATAAATGAAATCCAAACGCGTATTTTATGTAACTTGTTTCAGTGAAGAATTAGAAGTGTTTCAATCTAAATAATGAAAAAAATTGAACATAATTTAGTTATTCTATCAGTCAATTCCTGTGAAATCTCTAGCTGTGTTATCCCAGCTGTGTTTGAAATTCATGTCCTTCAGTAAGCTCTTAAGGCAGCAATGCCTTAAGATTAGTTTTTTCTCAGACCAAATTAAATGAGGAGACATGGCAACACTCTACTGCTGTTGATATCCCCTTTGCATAACATTTTTTCCATACACAGACTCACCTGTCTTGTCAGAGTTGCAGAGAATAGTTTCCTTCTCAGCTCTTAATCCAGGACTAGGTCCATGTTTCATCCACAGAGTGATGGTGAATTGATCAGTTAAATTTTTCGGGACTATTCCATCTGGGATTTTGGCTCCTTGCTTTCCATCAAATTTAAAAATCATGTCATTGCTATCCATGAGGAGCCCAGCTGTCCAGTTGGTTGTTGTACTGGGAGATGGTAACAGGTCAATGGCACCTGAGGAAGCTCCTGCAAATCACATAATGATTACACAATGAGAGACCAGTGAAAAAGCTGTGAAGATTAATATAGGCTAGGGTTCTGATTCACACTCTTTAGACTACTTTACTACCCAAATGGTCTTATCAGCCTCAATGCAAAATCACTGAAACATTATAAAATACCCACCATCATGAACCAGCAAGAGTTTTCTAGATTAAATGTTCTGCACAGAAGACTGTAGAAAATAATGCAAATTTATCTTTCTCAGAAATGGTCATTATTTTCTGAAATTCATTAACGACATTTCTTCAGCTATTTCAAGATCTGCTAAGTCAAAACAAATTTTCTGCATTTATCTTCCCTCCCTGACAGCACGAAGGTTTGGGGGGACGATGTGCTGTAACATATAGCACAGTGGGCATGATTGCAGGACAGCCCCACAGTGTCCAGCAGCCAGCCATGGATCTCCCCAATAATTCTGTGAGGAATGTCCATTCACAGTGGGGGGATTCACCCCAACCATATAATATCACTCCAGTGCTGCTTTCTGGCACATATTTGATGGTTGGAGCTCTGTGTGTTCTTTAATGAGAGACCGAGATGGAAAACACCGTGGTACCAAGATCTGATAAAATAGCACAGTTCTTCACAGCTCTGTGTTTGCTTACAGCTTAACAACTGCCAGGCACTATGAAAACCATGCAAGGAGCTACCCAGAGCATGGACCTACTGGTGAAAGACAGCCTGGAGCAGGAAATAAGATTCCAAGAGTAAAAAGCACAAAAAATCTTTGTATTCCTATTGTTGCTTTGTCAAGTAACAATATGGTGAGCAAACTGTGATGGCATAAAAATCCCCTGCTAAGGTGTTCTGCCCTCCTTCACCATCCAAGAAGAAATAAAAGATCCCAAATCTCTGCAGGAGTGCAAAAAAATTTAAGCCAAAAGTGTGTAGAATTGTTTCATACAGGCTTTTAAAAATGTATTATAGCAATGATTTGGAAATATTTATCTTATTCTGTAATTGAATGTCTTGTGTTCTTCTCCAAAATTTACTACTGTAAAATGAGGCTATTTTGAAGTGATATTTTGAATATCAAACCTAAAACCTACCTGTTCATAGTTTGAGCATGGAGACAAAGTGTATTTATTTTACAAACTGTAATTCTGGATAATACAGGACACTGAATTTTGTGTAACCAGCACCAAGCTCAACAGGTTCTACTTTATCTGCCTATATTTGTATGGAGATTTATGGCTAAGTTTGGAATCTCATCCTGTAACGTGTTTTAATCCTGTCCTGAGAAAAATCATTGGATTATTTACTGGGGAGATTTGGCTGGAATAAATCATGCTTTTCCTATCCTAGTAAATCCAGCCAGAGTGCCAGGCTGCTCAGCCATGTACAGAGACAGACCTGGAACAATGCAAACAGGATCTCTGTGGAGGTGTTCCCAGAACAGCCTGACCATGGGATCAGTGCTCTTCCAAAATGTAGTGCCTGATGCCCCTTTTCTCCCAAAATACTTCCAGAACAAGGCAGGAACTGTTGCATGAAGCTCAGTTTTGGGCTAAGACCCCTAAGGCACCTCTTGCATATGAAAGTCCTTATTTTCACAACTGATTTATTTATTGTTGATTTGGCCCCACCTCCTCTCCCAATCCTGCACATTTGGGCTCCAAACTTTGTGCCAGGATAAGCACACAGTGATGCTGCTCACTGAGCTGGACCAGACTGCTGGCTTAGCTGGAAACAAATGATCCAGATAACACCCAGCTCAAACTCTTCTTTGTGATCAGAGCAACTTTGGGCCTCTTGCAATGCTACACCACCCAGGATAATGGAGAGAGGGCAGGATTGTGGCTCGAGCAGGGCCTTGAGGCTGACAGTGTTTCCCTGTCTCAGTTTCCCACCTGACACATGTGAGAATTAGCAATCCCATTATTTTCTATTTTATCTACATTCAGAGGGAAAGGAGACAGCATCAGAGCCATTTTCCCACTATATTTTTGGCTCCTTATCCCATGTTCATTTTAGTGCCATTTTTTCTGATATGTTTTTGCAGTCCAAGTGGTGTCTTTTAGACAGTCTGTACTTTGTATTACTGTCAGGTAACAAGGTGAAAGAATGCTTTCTAAAATGCTTTGAGCCACAACACTAACAGTTCCTTGCCTTTAAAATGACTTAAGAGTAATTTAATCATTTAAGCTGCCCACCTTGACCATCCAAGGGATGCAAATCTCAGGGTTATTGAAAAGCAGACTTGTACCTTCTGTCATATAAATAATGAATTTTAATTCTCCCTCCTTAACATCTTCCTTCTCCAGATTTCCAACAGATAAATGAAGAAATGAGCACAGGATTTATAAACTGGATCTTTACTTTTACAGAGAGAGCCTTGCATTTTACATGGTGTAGAGCTGTATGAGTGCTCAGTTCTGCACACTCTGCAATCACATCATGCTTCACTGTATAAAAAAAATTCAAGGTTTTTGTCCTTTTCAAAGGATTTTATCATCCAACCATTAGTTACAATAAGGTATCTTCTGGGAGAAAACTGATTTCCAGAAATAATTTAAGTGGCTTTCATAAGACTTCTCTCTACATTAAGGATCGTAAAAAATACTAAATAGCACAGTGCAGGCCAGGCTAAATGCAATTCTTATGTAAAGCACATTGTCACTTTTCATCAAAGTCCTGTTACAAGTTTCTATCATGTCTGCTTGCTATGAAGATACGGAAAACCTGGACCAAAAGAAAAATTCTTTCAGTGGTAAGAATTTCCCCCCTATTTACATACACTCTTACACTTTTGTTTTCTCAAGTGTTTTCCATTCTCTTCCTTTATGGATGAGGAGAGGAGAAGTTCAGCAGGGATGTCTGTCCCCTGCTCAGAGCCACCACAATGGCCCTGCAGACCTGAGAATTGCCTGTAATTCTCTTTTCTGCTCCAGTGTCAGCAGGTGAGGCAGTCAAGCCACACTCTGCAAACTGAGCCCCTTAGAGTTTGTACCCCTTCCTCAACTAAGGACTTTTACACCAGCTGAAGGTACCTCCTTTCAGCCTACACTTGAAATGATAATATTGTTGGATATAGCTGCTATCATTGTTTGATTTCAAGGTAATAATTCTGTGGTTTAGGTCTTGTTCATAGTGGTCTGCACTGAGTGACTGTAACATTTGCAGTTCAGGTCTGTAACAGCACAAAGCCAAGTTCTTTTGGCTGCTAATACAGCTTCTTAGAGGAGGAAAAAAGTATTTGATTTTAGCTATTATATAAATATTATTTCTAGAATATTTATATATAATTTATATGCAATATTTATATATATTTAGCTATTATATAAATATTTAACATATTTCTTTTTATTAGAATTTTCATATTTTATGAAATCAAGCCTTGGTCTGCCTCTCAGATTTAATATCATTACCATGATTAAGATGCATATTGGTGCAGATGGATTTTCATCTGCTTTTCTAGAGCCCAGGCAGTTGGATTAAGACATAGAATCAAAGTCATGATTGTTTCTGTGATCTTAACTAAGCAATTTTGAAGTTGAAAACATTCAGATTTTATGACAATGCTACTACTCCCATTCACCTTTACCTCCCTTTCTTCCTCTCCACTGATAACTGATAATTGCAACTCTCAACCATTTTTCCCTGGAAATTGCTTCTCCATTTTTAATAATTTAGTAACACTGGCTGAAATTTTTCATTTACAAAAATTATTTCCTAAAGGTCAGTGTATTGATCTTAACATGCCTGCAGCACTGCTGAGTGGTTATCAGAGCAAAGGCAAGCCCTACACCACAGCACCCAGAGCCAAAATCCACGCATTTAAATAGAAAAAAATTGCACAATTACTACTGCAGCTCAGACAGAAACCAGGCAAAGAGACAGGGAAGATGAGAATTAATGTCTACACCATCAAGGCTTCAAAGGAGGAGTCTAAAGACAGGATATCAGAGCAGGAGAGACATCTGATCTCAAAAGATGAATGGATTATTGTGTGGCCATTGCTTTGTCAGATACAGAATCTTAAAAGTCTGAAAAAAAATACAGCAGTATCTTCAAGTATTTAACCTGCCTTTCAAAACTGACTTCTGCATTTTACACAAAGTTATCAAAAAGCACAGAAAGGGAGGAAAAAAATTAGGAAATATTTCTCCACCAGGTCAGCTCTTATCTGAAGTTCATGTTTCTTAAATATTTTTGCCCAGAATATTATTTTACTTTTTGTTTCTTTGTCCTCTGGCCCAGCACTGAGCAGCAGAATAGAAAGCTGAGTCAGGAGGACTGAAACACAACAGGGAGATTTAATTCCCTTCAAATCCTATGGTCTTCCTGTGATGGCAAATCTACACTGGAAATCTCACTACAGTGTCACACCACTATCTGTAGCAGAGGGAAGAAAGAAGGGGAAAGAGATGGAATGAGGAAGAAGGAAAAACTGAGAGGGGAATCGGAGCAGGAGGGAAAAAAAATAAAAGAAGGTAGGGAGAAAGTATGGAGTGAAAACAAACGGAAAAGAAGGATGGAGCAGCTGTCAAATATCATTACTCTCTCCATTTTCATTGCTGCAATCCAAAGTGAGCCAGCTGAGCTAAATCCAAGTTCTGCATGATTACAGGTCACAAGGAGCTGGTGCCTTGTTTGCAAAAACATTATTATGTCAATGGAAATCCATATCCATACCACATAATTTCTGCAGAGATTTCTCAGAGTAGGTTTCACGATCACAGCCCTTCCCGATGTAATTGGTCTGCAGCTCAATGGTGGTGTGGATGGAGGACACTGGTCCATCACATGTCTCCAGGTGGATGCTGGGAAACAAGGGAATGCTGCCAGAGCCAGGCCTGTATTCAATCCGTTTGTTCCAGTCTGGAAAAACAAAAAAATCAAAACCAAGATCCAATGGTGAGTAAAAGAACGGGAGTTATATAATTTCAAATTACATATTGTTCTCAAAGGACACTGTCTAAGGCAAACATAAGACTCTCTGAAGTTGGCACCAATAAACTACTCTGCGAAAAAAAATGGATTTTGGCCCTGTTTTTCTAAGAGTGTCAGGCTCACTTAAGTAACACCTCTCCTGGTTGAGTCACGCAAGCAGGGGCTGCACACATCTCCTGACAAGAAGTGCTAATTGGTGTCAGTCTGGAGCTGCAGTGCCCACGTTCCGTGACAGACTACAAGCTGACTCTGCAGGGAGGAGGTTGTCTGCTGCACCCAATTTGGTCAGATTTCACAGCGTGGTGATAAGAACAAATGCCTCCAAGGACCAGGCTACACCAGTCAGTCTAATATAACACCTCTGTAGTGCCACTTCTTGTCTTTGAACATCTTCCTTATTTTGTGAAGCACTGGTGACAGGAAGTTCCAGCCAAAAGGATGACTCCTGCTTCCAGCTAGATCTGACTAATCTGTGTTTATGCAGATGCCTCACAGCCCACAACAATTAAACAATCCCCTGCCTCAGGCAACCACCTGTTTGTGCCACACATACCCCCTGTGCTGCTCAACTGAAGCATTTTAATGTTTGAAATCCAATTAATTATGGTGTTTGCAACGTGCTTCAGAGAAAACCCAAAAAAGCAGCAGTAATTACAAGCATCTATTTTAGCTGTCTTTGCAGCTCATATTTTCATCAAGTCACAGAATGGCTGGAGTTGGAAGGGATCCTAAAAGCTCCCTCAAAGGGACACCTGCCACTAAACCAGGTTCCTCAAAGTCCCACCCAGCCTGATCTCAGGTTGAGGGACAGGGCATCCACAGCTTCTCTGGGCAACCTGTGCCATGCCTTAGCATCCTTATAAGAAAAAAAAAATAATTTCATATATCCCATCTAAATCCAACTTAAAGCTGTTGCCTCTTGTCCTGTCACTACAGGCCTCAGTAAAATCTTTCTATCCATCTTTCTTGTAAGTCTCCTTCAAGCACTGAAAGGCCTCAGCAAGATCTCCATGGAGCCTTCTCCACACTGAACAACCCCAACTCTCAGTCCAGTCTTCTGGCCATGTTCATGGCCCTTCCCCTCGTTGCTTTAACAACTTCAGATCTTTCTAGGTAAAATAAGACTTCAGAAAAGGAAAAGTTTTAGATCTTGGCAGTCAACAAAATCTCTGAAAGCAAATGGACAGAGATTTGTTCTAAATATCAGTGGAAGGGAAAACTAATAGTGGATACAAATTTGCATGTATGCATTTAGTAGGTGAAGGAGTTTGTGCTTTTCAACAGATCTCATTTTAGAAAGCTCAGGACTTAAACTGCATTAAGTGAAACATTTACAAGAAATTCTAAACATCCATGCAAGCACTTTGAAGTGTGAGGAAGTCATTAGTCCAGAGTCCAGGCAAGGATGCTACAACCACTGGTCTGCATTTCAGAATTCTCTGATCTTTCTGACATAACCCAATTGGTTTTTACTAAAATCTTTGGGACTAGTACATCATGACTAAGGCAACCATGACTGCCTGTGCACATATAACTGAGTTACTATTTCAGTTGTAATTTTCATGTAATTCACTCCATTTGTTCCACATTAAGTTAGACTTGATATACAGTATTGCATAATTTCCCTGCAATTGTCAGTTTAAATAGTTCCATTAGAATTCCAAGTACCATACATGGGACATCATTACAATAATAGGTTTCTGTTCCCTCTCCATTGCAGAAATTTGAGGTTAACACTTTTCCAATAGAATAAGAGCAGCAAATTCTTTGAGTTTCTTCAGGTAAAAATAAAGTAATATGCTGGTTTTATGCAAACTAATAATATATTAAGTTTTGAACTTTATAATCTCTTATTCACCAGTTCAGGCATTGTATTCCTCTACCCCAAAAGGAAAATAAAGTCTTACATATGTCTGGAACCTTTCTAACTATTTCAGCAGCTTTCAGCCACATTTTCATTTCTCAGCTATACCAAATGGACCAGTACTCATGCAAAATATTCATTAGTGGATGTGAGATATGATTGAATTATAAACTGCAGGGTGCCTGAAGCTGCCCACTCACCTCCAGCTATACAAGGAGTGTCCTATAAAACTCACATCATATAAAATGCCATTGCTGATGAGGAAGAATGAGGGGAGGCCTCTGTTTCTGCCACAAGAACGGGAAGAGATATTTTGTTTCATACTTGTTTTCATCTTGGCAGAAGTGGGAATGCATACCCAGAGATCATAAACCCTGCACCTCCCTAAATCACACACATTTATCTCAGTTCTAAATTGTAAAACATCAACTAGACTTGAACCAGTGTCTTTGGACTTGGTCTACTGCATCACCACAGACCAATCCCCATCCTAAACTGCACCAGCACTTCCTTCACTGACTTAGTGCAGATTTAGGAATTCCACCAAGAAGTCCCTCTCCATGCCAAAGGCATTCCCAGGCAGGCATGAGGCAAAACTGGAGCAGGTTACAATCCTGTGATGGCAGAACCGTCCCTAAAGGCAGCAACAGCTCTGATAAAAAACAAGTGGCTTATTTCCACAGAACCTGCCCCCAGGCACTCAGCTCCCAGAGCTGTGGAGCTGAGGCCAGCACCCTCTGCATCTCACCACCAGTGCAGGCAGCAACGCTGGCAAGGGCACAGAGCTGGGACAAGCAACAATAAGAGGTAGTAACAGTACAAAGAAATTACTGCGATAGTAACCCAAGTCCTTAATTTAATTTTGAATGGTGTATTTTGCTTTCTCTCAGAATAACATCGCACATTGGACTTACTCAAAGGATCAGCACCTTCCCTTCAGGAATGTGGTGGTACTTTTTCATTTTCTCTGGAGTGACTCACAGGAAAAGTCTTATGTAACCTGAGTCTGCAAATACCTCTGAACTGAGGTATTTTCTAGATATGTTCAGATACATAACCCCACCTGAACTGGCAGGCTGCACTTAGATTAACCAAACCCAACCAACACAGTTCCTACTTTGACTCAAACCTGACCCAAGTCCTGCTAGAACACCACATTACACAGCAAACTTAGGAAAGTAAATGGTGTCAGGGTAGAAGACTGATTCCAGGGGGAAAGTCTGAATAAAGCTAGCACTATTTAGTCCTGCAGCCACTGTTTTGATTTTATAATTCAGCAGGCTTTTGCTTGCTTGCCACTTGTAGCATGAAGCTGCTCCAGACAATGCAAGACAGCCCCAGCTGGGTTATCCCTACAATTAGAGTGTAAATATCACCATGTCAAGCTTGTGGTTCAGATTTCATCAATTATAAAGCAACTATGTAAACATGCATCTTGATTGCTGAGATACTGAAATGATCCCAAGATCAAAATGGATCAAACTTCAGTGACAGTTTGAGCCTTTAGTAAATCCCAATGCACTGAACAAATTTTCCTTTTAACAACAGATGGATAGGGTAAAGACATTCCTTGATCTCCCAACTTAAGGTTTTCTGTGCTGTCTTTGTGATTCACGTTTTATATTTTAATTAATTTTTAATGCTAGATGCCACTGAGGAGTTTAATCTGATTTTTTTTCCTTGAAGATCACGCAGAGGAGGTAGGACATGGTTCACATCTCCTACATGTGTGTGGCCATAAACTTTGATTCCATTTCACGGTGTTAAAACTGATGGTGATGTAATTAAAGATAATTGTAACACAACGAAATACGAAACTTCTCTCCTGTTGCACTGAAGATATGCATCTTGGCAGCTAAATGTAAGATAAAATTTATGTGGTGCCGTTAGTGAGTCTCTGCAGCATCGCTACATAATTGCTGGAACAGAAGGTTCCCAGAGCAGTGTAATTTGTATCTCTTCTGTTTCCTCTGCAGCATTCTCACATCTGTGCTGTTTATGTAGGCTAGAGACTTGGCTAAAGGTTACTCTGGTGCCTTTTTAATGTGAAATAAGATGAGTGACTTGTTAAGGAAATGGTAATCAGGTCTGACTCAGTTAAAGGGTTTCCACAGCAAAGAGAAAACTCAAACTAATGTCCAAAGCTCTGCTGGTTTGCTAAGAGATTTAAGTGCACATCTCAAAGCATAAACAAACATTGATATACACCTTTTCCTTGTGCAGTATGTTGATAGCTTCAAAAAGACAAACAAAAAAGAGACAGAAATTTGTGCTTAGTACAGGACAGTGGAAAGGCTGATGCTGCAGGAGCTGGTGAACCCAACTGAGTAACTGTTGTGCTCGACCTACTGACACTGAATATTCCATCAAGTGATAAAGTTCCCAGACCTAATGGTGCTTAATTATGTGAAATAAACATATAAGAATCTAAACCCCATGAAACAGCACCGCTTAAGCTATTATTTGTCATGAGATTTCATTTGAATAATGTATTTCCCACAGTGTCAGAGCCCCAGGGGCACTAATAAGCCCTAATGAACCTCCACAAGCTTCACCTGGGGCCTCCACTTGCCCTTCCATGGGCCTGGAGCTCCATTTAAGCTCAGCCCCATCAGACTGGGCTGCAGGTGCTGGTTTGTCTCAGCCACAGCATCTCTGGATCCAGGAGCCAGCCCAGGCCTTGCTGCTCTGGCTTGACAGAGCAAGGACTGGCCCAGTGTCTGATCCCAACCCTCATCCATGGATCCCTCATCAATGGACCCCAATCCTTATCCATGGATCCCAACCCTCATCCATGGATCCCTCATCCATGGATCCCAACGCTCATCCATGGATCCCTCATCCATGGATCCCAACCCTCATCCATGGATCCCAACGCTCATCCATGGATCCTTCATCCATGGATCCCAACCCTCATCCATGGATCCCAACCCTCATCCACAGATCCCAACCCTCATCCCTGGATCCCTCATCCATGGATCCCAACGCTCATCCATGGATCCCAACCCTCATCCACGGATCCCAACCCTCATCCATGGATCCCTCATCCATGGATCCCAATGCT